GCTAAACGGTTTAATTTTTGCAACGTGTTTAGCAGTTACTGAACGGAGCATGCACGCTACGAGAAATAACAGTCAAGGGTTTGTACCGAAACTCAGGCTGTCTTCTTCTTCCTTTCGGAAGAAAACACGAGTCAGTCGTCAAACGATTTTAAAATTGCACGATGTAAAGTGTAGAGTTTATTGGGTTTTTGTCGATGCTGTGCCCCCGGGACTAAATTCCTACCTCACATTGACAGGGTCACTCACCGCTGATAGTGATTTTCGCAATTATCGCCTTATATTTGGCGCTTTATTCGCCTGGTGCAGAAACAGCTAAGAAAATAGGAGTCTTGAGAGACATTCTTACCTTTACGAAGCATTCTTTGTCATAAAAGGTAATCCGTTTTTAGGAAAACGTGTATCCCCTTCCGAAATAGTCATTCTACTCTACTCAACCACTGTGCACTGCAATTTCTTCTGCCTGGGAACGGAAATATTGATTCCTCCTATAAATACTCTTATGTCCGTTCTCGTTTTTACTGTCTAGAAACAAAGACATTAACATTAAGTGACATGAACAGCTGGAAAGGCACCTCCCTTAAGATATGGTTCGGTAGGACTTATGAAGTAAGTACTAATTTCATCAATTCATGTGGTCGCGAAAGATCAAATAAGAAAGTTCTTACACAATTTACTCTGATTGGTTTAAAAAATTGTCACATTCGACAAGAACATAGCCTCCCGATGACATTTCCCGTAAAATATTGACATTACAATAAAAGGGAGAGCATGGGAAGGACTCAGATCTTATAAGAACAGTGTACCTGCTCCTACGTGGCATGTTATATTGGTCATAGTAGTCGGGGCCTATCAACAAGAGCTCAGGAACACCTGTCGACATTGTCGGGGAAATGTGAAGTTAAGAGCACACGCAGCTCCCTTCTCGCACACCTGATTGCTTCTGGGCATCACGTGCAGCCCAACGAAGCCTTCCGCGTAATTTATTTGGTCCCACCTAATTACCCTGAGAAACTGGATCAGCGCCTACTAGCAACAGCAGACGCGAGCGTCATCAGGTTACGGAGACCGGTCCTGTGCGCGCAAAAACACCTCCTTTACGCTCCCCGTCTACCGTCTATCAACAGCATGCGTGTCCCTGCGACCCCGCCCCTCCTCACATCATTAACACATGGCTGTACCTGAACTCCGCTGTCACCTATTGTTTCCTGTCTCCCCCCCCCCTGTTCACACACCCCCCTTGTAGGTAAAGATGAACCGTAATCCAACTCTGGGATTTGTTTGGATAACAGGACATTGAAGGCATTCGTAGGAAGACAAAATCAATTCAACTGGTCTCAATCTCCGTTATTAAGTCGGCAATTGACCTTGCCCTAAGTATGCGAACCGGTGTAGGTCTTGCTATCACTGCGCCGTGGTGTCGGACTAACTGACCTTTAACAGTCTGGGCACCCTTCTATGTTTTTGCGCAATCTACTAAACGCTGATAGAGACGGACGTGGCATGTGTGCTCAGAGGTGTATTATGGAAGAAATGGAGAGCTTCAGCATCGGAACTACGCAGGGCATGGGCTTATCCGTTGTCTCTTTCGAATTTAAAAAAACAACGCTGTTCAAACATTGGGAATTAACCAGAAAGGTGAAACTAGGAGAATAGACAGCGCCATCCTTGCGCATGCAGTGGACGCAGGGCATCGTATGGACCCCACTGAAGCATTTCGTGTGATTTACAAGGTCGCCTCGAGCTACCCTAAGCTACTGGGCCAGCGCCTGTTAGCAACAGCAGAAGCGGCCGCCATAAGGTTACGAAAACCGACTCTATGCGCCCAAAAGAACCTTGTTCAGGCTCCGCGCTTACCGTAGTCAAAGGTTGACTAACCACATACAACTTTCGGCGCCCTTCTGCTCTTGCCGAGCCTGCAATTTAAAACCTAACTTTTATCGATTTTTGTTTCACTCACTGTACCCCGCCCTGTGTAACTGTATTGGTCTGATGAGAATTTACCGAACGGAACGTTCACTCGCCACTGTCTCCTCTGAAAATAGTTATGGGGATTTTTACAACTTTATAACTAGAAAGTGTATATATCTAATAATTACAGCCACCGGATCCTACAGACTAATTTAAAAAGCTGATAGCCAAATGTATCCGAAGAATACTTCGAAAGGAAGTTTCTAGGGCATCTACCAGAATAAACCAAGGAGAATCCGTACTTCGCAAGACGTAAACATAATTCCAGTTCACAAACGGTTGAATATGATGCTCAGAAAATGCAAACTAACAACTGCTTTCGCACATTGATGATCGTCCACCTATTAACAAATCTCATAAAATTCGGGAAGTCAGTGCGTTAGTTTTCCAGAATTTTAAAGGGGTGGAAAGAAGATAGCAGATCCCCTTAGCGACATACCCTGTGATTTGAAATTTATATTTAATTTATACTCGGCCGCGTCTCTTTAAAATTATTAATGCACGCGAAAGCGTTATTTTCTACTCCCTTTTTACAAGAACAGAGGTTTTGTATACACGAGAGACTGTTCTTGAAAGAGCCATTTCAAATCATTGCCTGTCCTATTGTCGTATTCCTGACGCTATCGTTGTTTCGATCATCTGAACATTTAAATGCATACTTTTTATCTTATGGTCCAAGTTGAAATTTCGTTGCTTCACCGTCTTTCGTACCCTATAAAACAGCCCAGCTCATCAAATTACCAACTTGTACTTGGTAGCTTTCACACTTTGTTTTAAGACTACGCCTTTAGCTTGTGCCCACGGTGGTAAGGACAAATTCAAATTGTCGACTAATTACATTCTGTAGATGGTTTAAAAGCCTACAACATTGGCCATTCTCTCACGAAGTCCAAGGCATCCTTGGTAATATATTCCCGCCTGACAGGGGTTTCGGTGCACCGCTGTCATTGTGGTAGCCAGAAAAGTCGTGAGCACTGCGGGCAAATGGATTGACACGAACGCTGACAGTACAGTCTTCAGTGGAGAAAGCAGTGACACGCGACTAGAAGTGTGTTCAGGTGCTGTCTCCCATGTGCAGATCCCGTAAACGCTTTCAGTGACTTAAACTTGCAATAGCAATCACTGATGGCCACGTTTTGAAATGGGGATGATACATCCATTAGTACCTGTGTGAATATGAGCAACATAGCATTAGTCAAGGGGTTCCACAAACCGCAACTTCGGTATTACATTTGCCGTGACGTGTTATCGTGACTACGTATTTGTCAGGTAGCTGGTAGGCTATCAGGCTAAATTAGTAGACGTTTTGGTGGATTTTGAATAATGCATTTGGAAATGGTTGTGGAAAACTCGGCGCCTAGGTGGGATCTGAACCCACGACAGCAAGGGGAAGGTCGTAGTATAGCCAACGTTCTAACCATCTGAGCTACAAGGGTCCATTTGAAGAGGGAGCTAGGTTACCCGCCCAACCTGCTGAGAATTCTGGAATCCCCCACATCTGATGCAGAAAGCGGAATGTTCATACAGGATTTTCTGAGTAATTCATCCAAAATGTACCCGGCTCACGTGACTATTGGATGTTTTGGCAGGTGGCTTGAACAAAGTCTATACTAAAGCCTTCCATTTACTGTCGTGCGCTAGAATCCCACTAAACCACTGATTTTTTTGCAGATGGGCCAATATGAACATCGGGTTTAACCTGGACCATCTGCTCCCATCAACTCTCGATGGCATATTTTCAAACTACGCCAGAGACATGAGCTGACACGAGTCGTTTCTTAATCGCGAGTCCAGTCCAAACGTTGTAAACCGCTTTGGCCACTAAAAAAACGATATTCGCTATTAAAAAAGCCAAGGCCCACTTCGTGCGTAGACTAAGTTGCTCTTTAGGCTCTTCCGGTTCCCCAATATATTACTCAATACAGTGCGTGATGGGTCTCTTGAAATGTTGTCCAAAATTCTGGAATGTGTTTCCGATTAGGAAGAATTACTTAAGTGGCGTTGTTATATTGATTATCATACAGCATAACCCTATAATACTACGGATTCAGCAGGATGTCGGCGTTTGAATACAATTCTTTTTGACCTCCTACAATAACCACACTCGGTAAAAAATGACTACTTATTTAGCGTACATTCTTCCATTTGATTTTCGATGGTCTTATAAATTGAAATATATTTTATAGAAAACATTTACGAAACATAAGCATTCTTTTGTTCATTTGGTAGGAAATCGCCTTGGCTTCGGATTTTATGACCGAGGAAAGTGTATACTTAGGTTTTAAAAAAGTTTACCAATTCCTGAATAATTTTCAGCCTGATCTGCCACTGCATCAGCGTTTAGCAATTCTAGTTTACAAGATGCATGCTTTCCGCGTAAGAAAAATCATATATTCCTATATGCTTTTAAGAAGATACCGCATAGATTTCAGGAAATTCTGCAATGGATCCGGACTCTGTTGTATATTTCGTCAGGAGTATTAGTAAGCGGACATGTGCATAAAATATGAAGCCAATGTGATTTTCTACCAAATGAACAAACGAAAGCATCTTTTTCTGCATGCTGTCTGTGAAAGGTATTTGAATTTAAAAGATCATAGAAAATCAAAATGAAAAATGCACGCTAATTAATTAGTCACTTTTTACCGCGTGTGGTTTCTGCAGGAGGTCAAAAAGAAGTGACTACAATAGCCAACAACCTGGCGAGTCCGAAATGTTAAAGGTTTATGCTGCACGCTTAACAATACTACAATCCCACTTAAGTAATCCATCCTGATCGGAAACGCATTCCAGAATTTTGGACAACATTTCATGAGATCGGTCACGCACTGCGTAACTACTTCACGGACAATTATTCTTTGCTCTCTTTTGTATGAAACCCCATCCGTCATTTGTACATAAACTGCCTTCATGAACATTATTATTTTCTGTGTGCGCTAATACATGACAAATAGGAAGTCCGATTTGTACAAGAATATCTTTTACAAAATAATTCGTCATCTAGCATATGTTTGACGTTGCCCTCGGTTGTTCTAGCTCTTTAATGGTAGATGATCCGTTGCTGGAGCGGAAGGTGCAGTAGTATCAGCGTGTCCCGCAGTGGATAGGTTGGACGTCTGCAAAGTTTCATCATAAGATGGGGGTTTCTGAAGAGGGGGCGATGGATGTTCTTCCTCATAGGCAGAAGAGACGTTGATTGGTTTAATCACAGGCAGCTAGATAGAAATGAAGAACAAACGACGAAAATAAGTAAGTGTAAAACCAAAAAAATACACTTTTATGAGAAGGTCTAAAAGACGGCAAATGATTAACATCAGGTTTCGAGGGTTCTCGGTTCTTCGTTGAAGGTCGTTACTCAACAAGTTTCCGACAATCGAACAAATGGTGAATTCTTACAATCTTAAAAGTAACCACGTTAATTTGAAGTGAGTGAACGCCTATTTGTCTTCACTTATTCAAAGCCTTAAGATATTTAGGAGAATTCTCACATACTGTCAAGACACCGATAACACGGCCTTTTTTGAAATTGGGCATGCCATAAATTAGAAATCGGGTTTGGAAGATTTGAGATGTTAGTGCCAGGTGCAGATGCAGCCCCTTTAGCTGACACACTTCGCCGAAATATTCCAAAAGATCCCATACGATGTTTTCTATAAAAACGCTATTTTTAATTCGCGTTTTGGACTGGCTTCTTTGATCTGACAAATGCTATAGCCAATTGACTACAAACGGCAGATAGGTATTATTCAGTCACACTGGTAACTTTAGGTCAAGTGGATCAAAAACTAGAAGAAGTAGATTTGATTGGTCTCAGTTTTATCAGATTTTATGAGATCAAGTTATACAGGTCCTTCTCCAAAGTGTTGTCTAGCATGACGTTGCTGTGTATGTATGGACACTGGCCAGATCACAGTTCGTAATTTTTTAACGATAAAATAGGTGAACTTCAAAAATCATTGAGCCAGTGAATTATCAACATAAAACACACTTTCAGAGAAATGTAAACCTCATGTAGGTTAAGCTTACAATTTAAGATAACCCTAAGGTAGATAGATGTGAGACATATACTGAATAAGACAATGAAATGTTATTTTCTACTGAATGAGCAAAAGAATGAAAAGTTTTATGCATGTTTTCCATTAAATATCATTGAATCTTGAAGGGCATCGAAAATCAATAAAGTAAATGCATGTGAATTAAGTAGCAATTTTTTACAAGGTAGGGTTTAAGATGTAGCCGGAAGGAGGTAAGTTCAAAAGCGGACGTCCAGAGGTAACTGAAAGTTTATCGAGTTAGCGTGCATGGCAATTATATTTACAATTCTACATCATTAATCTTTTTGAAACGAAAACGCATTTCGGAATTTCAGTTGAGATTTAAAGAGTTAGCCCATTGAGAGTTTATCTAAAGCCTGCGAATGCTCGCCAAATACTCTTCTAGATTATCGACAAGAAAGGCTGGAGTGCACATTTCTGGCTGGTTAGCCACCATCAGCCAGCCATGCAAAACCTCGCTATCATGCAATCCGTGGGACACGAACCCGCGTTCTGTTGTTTCAAAGTGCGAAGCCCTAACCATTGAGCCCCAGGCCCGTTGTCCTCTCGGTTCCGATTTGTTTATTTACGCTGCCTTACAAATATACACACCGTTAAGAAGTATATTTTAAACTATTCGCCATCAGGTCTGTACAATGATATAAGGGCGAGCGGAATAGCAGAGGCTAAATAGCTCATAAAAGCCAGTATGTTAAAGAGAGTTGAGCGGCGTTCAGAGGTCAGATTGTAGTTCTGTCTGGGGCTTAAAAAGGCCGAGTGGTAAGGTGTCTGGCCATTAGCTGGCCCAGTTTCATCGCCGTTACTCGGCATGGCGGGGATGAATACACATGCTGGGTTTGTTTTTACCCAGAGGGGGGTTTTGCGCTTGTACAAACGCTTTATGCGAGCGCACGGTTTGGTTGGTTAATCGTATGGCCACTGCCTATGCTCTCGCAAGTATCCGCTGACGCGGGAACTTTTGGTATCTCGTCGATACTTTGTAGATGATTCGGAATGCTTGGTTGAAGTCTACCCGTTGGCTGCTGTAAACCAAGTGAGCCGCAGGTAATCGTCAGACACCCTTTTCCTTCCGCTCCCTAAACCTCCGACAGAACTGAAATCTGAGTCCTGACCTCTGAACGCCCCTCAGCCATCTCCCTCAATGCTGATGTTTATTAGCTGTTTAACGCCCACTATGCTGTCTTACCTTATATCACTGTACAGATCTAGAAGCATATGTTTGTCTGACTAGACTTTTGAGATTCTTGCAACAATATCCTCACTAAGTATACAGTGAGTGACCGACCTCATGCAATTTTGACCAAAATTTTAAAATGCGTTTGCGATTAGGGAGGATTACTTAGGTGCTGTTGTAATGCTGATTATCTTGCGGCATAATCCTATAGTATTTCTGACTCGGCAGGATGTCAGCTTTTGCATACACTGCTTTTCAATCTCCCGTAGAAGCCGTACTTGCTAAAAATGGCTACTTATGTAGCGTGCATTTTACTTATTGGTTTTTTATGGTCTTGCAAATTCAAATACATCTTAAAAAAGCCATAAACGAAAATAGGCTTTCTTTTAGTCATTTGATATGTAACAACGTTATCCAGACATTTTATAAATGAAGAAATATACTAAGAGTTCAAGCGAGTTTTTTAACTTCCGAATAATTTGTAGCCTGATCGTTCGTTGCATTACCGCCTAGTGATTTCATTCTACAAGGTGCATGCGTTCTGCGAAAAAATCTCACATATTTTTGTATTCCTTTAAAAATATACCATATAGAGTCCATTAAGTTTTGCAATGGATGTGGACTATATCGTATGTTTCATGAGAAGCAGTGGTAGACTGACAGGTACGAAGCTAAGTCAATGGACATTGATGGTCTTGAAAATCCCACAGGTAGGCACTTTTTAAAACCTATTTATACCCAATCGTCATCCAGGAAAAAATAAGAATAACGCTATTTTCTATCAAACGACTGAAAGAAAGCCAATTTTTGATTTCTGGTTTCTGTAAGATGTATTTATATTTGCAAAACCATCAGAAACCAATGAGAAAAATACACGATACATAAGTAGTCATCGTTTACTGAGCAAGGTATTTACAGGAGTTTAGAAGGCAGTCTCTTCAAAAGCTGACATCCTGCCAAGTCCGAAATATCATAGGATTATGCCGGAAGCTAATAAATAGTAAACTCTCGCCTAAGGTATCCTTCTTCACTGAAATCGCATTTAAGTATTTTAGCCATTATTCCATGAGATCAGTCACTCACTGTACGCACATGTTTGCCAATTCGCGAAAGCAAATCTACAGTGATTTTCTGACTAGTAATTCTTATGGAGTACATTTCTCCGACCTAAATTACTTAACGTTCAGATGAGCACTTGGCAAGGAAATGTACTCGAAGAACAAATGTGACGCAGAATAGTCAGGTGGTTAATTTCGCTATACATGAAATGAATTGTACGCAGATTGCTGCTGCGTTTTTCATAAACTATTACACTATAATAACTGCAGTGATTTTGCCTTCATTTTCTTGGAATGATGTTTACATATTGAACAGCAGTAAATGCAGTAGCCTCATTAAAGTGAGGCCGAATTTGGGTCGTTTTCTACGTTAGATGGTGGTGGTGGGGATTTACGTGTTTGGTTACACGCAGGTCGAAGAGCAAGCGGAGGGCAAGAAGACAAAAAATAAGTACATTTCGCCAATAAATCTTATTTTGGGCGATACAATGGCAAAGAAAAGGGGTGGATGATTCAAAAAAGCAATTTTCAGGAACATTGGACTTCGAATAACCCGCCGCTGGAATGTTTTCATTCAGTCAGGAGGCCAAGGAAGTTTCAACCAATGGGAACAATGTATAATAAATGATGATTAAACTCAGACGGAATTTTAGTGTACATGTCGGAGTTGCCAGCTACGTGGGGTCCTGCACCCTACCGTTACCGCCCAAGCATCTCATTCTTAGAGCTCTCACGGGATAACAGCGTCATTGACGAGCAATTTTGGAATATAATCTCACAGGAAATGTCAGCCAGTAGGGACGGCAAATGGTGAGTGATATTTGCAGTCACACAGAATGTTTGTGTGCGCACATGTTGGAGTTGCCAGCTACTTGGGGTCCTACACCCTACCATCACTAAGAGAACAATTATATTTGCTTACAGATGGCAAATGCGAGTCGGCTAAAATGTCTGTTATACAGAAGTAGAGTAACGCTGAATTTCGTTTGTTGCAAGAATAATGTGAGGTAGTCAAACCGTACAACAAAATAAGATCTTAACGGTCGACTGTTGTGCCTTTGAAGCCCTGCCAAAACTTTTAATTATTGGTTCCAAATGACCAATTATTCCAGGTAAAAGTTCCTTCAAGTTTTCAGAGCGGAAATAAATTGTAGAAGGTGAATATTCCTAGAACTGGTAAGGCCTCCGAAACAGGATACGGGTTAGGCAGGTTCAGGGACCAACTATAATAATGGAGCACAATCTTAGTCAATAGTAATATGAGTATTAACTTGAAGCGCTATAAATGCAGGCCCAATTAAAATATGCCTCAGGCAATTAGCTCAAAGGCGTCAAAAAGGCCTGACTAATTTGACGCCCGCGCATTACTAACGAAAACAGCATCCTCACTATATCCTCGTTCCTGCTGCGGTATTCCACGATGTCTTTAAAAATCTCTGATGCTAAGAGATCAACCATGTTTGACAGACAGGACTTAGTCTGACAGTTTAGCTCCAGTTCGTTTTACGATGGACGGCATAGAGTGAGAAAATGCAAACTAGGCTTTACTTTTATTCCACCTTGTCTGCCCGTCAACAGCCGAGTTCGCCTAGAGCAAACGGAACGGACGAGGTGGAGGTGGGGTCAAATATCTATACCCGGTCTGATAGTACCAATATCGGGGACCTAAGTGAGCCCAAAGATTTATAAAAACAAAAAGAAATTTTCAAAAAATAACGCACGACGAAGAAATTGTCACTGATAAGTGTGCATTTATGCAGCAAGGGAAGGGAGATCCAACCAGTGGGAACCGTGAATAGCAAGTAATGTTTTCAATCACACGGTATTTTAGTGTACATATTGGAGCTGTCAACTACTTGGGTCGAATGTTTCTTACAAAAATACAAGCCGCCAAGTAGGTGCCGTCAACCGAAACAAGTGCTACTATGCCATCCAAACAGGCGTCCAAGCACAGCCACGTTGCCAACGGCTGTTGCTATTAAGCTTTTGCTTTTAAATGTCCGAAGAACGCGTTTTAAACGCACACTTAATTTACATTGTTCAGGCAAAAAATACCTAGTGCGCAGTAGGAAATCTATTTTTCGATAAAATTTAAAACAGAATACATTACATTTCAAAACACTGCGTGAAAGATCTTGTTCCCGCGATCAAATTGCATTCTTCTTAACTATTTCTTGCAATTTACCTTTCAGCAAAATTAAAACAGCACACCAAAAAACGGCACATTCATATACCTATATATATTTGGACAGTTAAGACGGGTCATGGCATCCGAGCTTTCACACAGCCAGATAAACTGTGTAGTCCCACAAGCCGAGGTCCCTGATCTCTGGACGACTATTCTAATGCGTAATAAAAACAAGTTTTGGATATGCAGCCAATTGGCAGCTACTGAGAACGCTACTTTTCCAACACAGTGATTATCTTCTTAGACAGTAATAGTTGGAAAGAATTCGCAAAATACATGCAGAAGTAGTTTAAGACATTAAATTCATATTCTGCAGGCAAAAATACCCCAATGTGTTCTAATTTGAAAAAGGACCCTCATTCTACTAAAATAAAATACAAACAATGTGGCTCACCTGTATGCGCGGTGGTGGTGGTGGTTGGAAGTTCTTTCGTTTATTTGTTTTGCGTCCACAACAGACGCAGGCAGCACAGATGCTTCCAATCAGATTAAACGCAATACCAACTGCCAGGAGAACCAGTCCACAGGTGAAAATCCTGGACAAAAAACAGTTATCGGTCATAGTTGCCATGCCAATATGATCATTTTGAAAAGATGCATTTTCCCACTGTCGACTGTATACGAGGCTGCAGTAGTGTACTTAGGAGTTTATTAAAAACGGTCCAACTGCATGCTGGCATATAAAGTTGCTAAGAATAACACATTAAAACTCAAGATTCTCCACCCAGGTTGCTTAAATGACACCTGTTGAAAAATTTGCCGGTCTATAATATCAGCGCTATCAGGATTGGGGGGAGGAGGAGCTATGAGCAGCAGATGTAAACAAATGTACCAGAAGTGGTCATTCCAAGTTGCCTTCTGTTTATTGCTGTCAGAGTAGATGTTCTAATTCATGAAATTTTAGTCGAAATTGTGAAATGTGTTTTCAAGGATACAATTTAAAGAAGACGTAGTTGTTTTCTGGATAAGTAAATGATCAAACATTTTTATGCCTATTTTTTATAAAATTTATTTAGAATTTTTAACGTCATTTAAAATATATGTGAAAAATGCATACTATTTAAGTTGTCATTTTTAACCGAGTACAGATTTTTCAGGCGGTGGAAAAGAGGCTTGTTCGAAAGCTGACATCTTTTAAGATTATGTTGCACGGGGATCTATATAAAAACCATGTCTTAGTGATGTTTTAAAGTCGAAAACAAATTTCAGAATTTCGGCTTACATTGCATGAGTTAACACACCTACTATACATTCAAACACCTGACTACGTCTCGGCATATAGGAAAATTAAACACCTTTAAATAAAATAAAAAATGTATTATTCTCCAATTCAGGATATTGGTGGACGTACATGACTTCGTTTTCGTTAATGTCTGTCAGATCCTCTTTGTGAAGGTGTTCCAAATTGCCATCAGGGAAGATGACGCGACTACACTTTGTGCGATTTCTGAATAGGACAGCCAGCACGCTCCCCGCAATTATTGAGAGTAGGCCCACGCAGAAAAACCATCCAGTGCATATTTTGCAACAAAGGTAATGTGTTTTAGCATAGGTGAGTGCACGATTAAGTGTTTTGTCAGCGATTGTCATTCCTAAAAACGAGAACGCTGGGTAAAGCCTTTATTTTATTTGCAAAATTTAAATCAGTTCTCAACTATCGGATCAATAATCATATTTGTTGGCCGTTCCAAGTTATCAAAGTAAACTGCACTCATATAGGTTCGGAGGACCTTGCTGAGTTAATTTTAAGTTAATGTAGTTAAAGATACGGTCATATCTTGTATTACTTAAATTGTGCGACAACGATGGTTTGCTATGGTAGGTTTTAACGTGATTTCGAAAAGTTAGGCAAATACCATTCACATTTTTTTATTACTTTTGCTTTTTCTTAAAAGCCCTGAGGAATTTACTATTTTTGTTTGCCTTCACAAATGATGGTTTTTTGGCAAGTAATCCGTCACCAGGGAATGAGTTAAGTATAATATAAATTCTAATGTTCCTTTAAGAGGCATAATCGTGAAGTAACTCCTGCTTAATAAGAGTGAAATATAATCCCGTGTTGTTTATTAACATAAGAATATTAGAGTTACATCAGTATTGAACAAGATTAATTTCTGTTAATGTCAGCCCATTTACTTGAAGCCATCTTTCCCACACTAAAAACATGCATAAATATCGGTTTTCTGCCCACAATGCCCGCTCGCATTTGAAGCCTTTAGCATTAAGATTAGTGGTAAATTTTATTGGCGAGGTTGAAATCAAATAGTGACAATGAATTTGCTTGTTATAATATACAGGAATATAAATGAACTACAAATTTATATTGGAAACGCACAAATAATGCTGGAATATGTTTGAGAACTAGTATTCGTTACCTACTACCTAGTTTGCAGATTTACGGCAGATTTTTTAAGTGAAATATGAGATGGTTTATCTTTAAGCATGCAGTAAAGTTTTCTTTTATTTAACGCAATGGACGATTGTTACAATGTAGGGTGAGCTGATAAAACATTCTGCTATGTAAATTTTTCCATTGAGCAGGCAGTTAGTTTTAATATCGATTTTGTGCAGTATTTTTGCACGAAAATTCATTCTTTGCGACAACTGTCTCCATCCAAAGTTAGGGCGTTTTAAAATCACAAAAAATGCTCACAATAAAGCCTCTCTTGCAGCATGAAAGTTTTTAAGTCGAACTTAAACATGAACACCAGTTGGATGACCTCGCTTTTTATCTCTGAATGTTGTTTTCTTTATTTGGGCGCTGGGCAACAGCTGTTCCTCATTAAATATATTTGCAGGTCAGTGCGGGATAAACTGACTTCTCAAAAAGCACATCCAGTCTTTTTCAAAGAGTTTATTAAGGATTATCATTATTCCCAGCCCATGCAGTGATCACTAAAGGCAACAGTAAAGATGCATCTTTAAACTCACATTTGGAAGCAAAATACATATATGAGAATTATTAGTCAATAGTGATCAGGAGGGTATACATTTAAATGTATCCATTGATACAACGGGATTTTTTCAAAATTAACAAAATGCAAGCTCATTTCGCTCCAGCTGAAAGATTGCAGGACACTTACATTTGCCGTTTATAATTGAAGGTCAAAATTGCTAAAGCTCCCCAAAAAAATTTAAGAAATACAGAGTTCACATTTAAGCTAGCGATAGTATGTTTTCAAAGATGAAATTTCAGACAACCCTGGAAATGAAAGACACTTTTACCTAGATGTAGTGAAACGCCATGCAAAAATAAATGCTCACGCCTTGCTCAAACGGGTTCTGCGATCGTTTTGATGGAACTTATACATATATATGACGCGATCTGTTGGGGATGTTAAACCTCTGCGAAAGTGTGCCCTCACTGTACACAGATTGGTCGCCTTCACCTGCCCGTGCATAGGTAAAATGTGTCAGGGCGTTTTCACTAACGTTAGACAGTTAAGAGCTCTCATATGTGTCACAATGAGCAATCAGAAGATCATTCTCCTAGATAAAAGTGCACCGGCTTTGTAGAAAACAAAATATGAACATTGTTTAGATGGTGAAGACGTTTATATGCTGTAAATAACTCAAGTATATTTTTTGAAAAGTTGAAAGAAATTAGAAACGTAGCAAGATGAGGCTTTTCGCACAATATTTTCAATCATTGGTTTTGTTTGCAAAGTATTATCATATATATAGGACTGCAAAAACGTAGGCGAAGGTTGGACTATATAATTGAAAAAATTTAACTGGGAATTCGCAACACTTTATCCAAAAGTATTTGTGAGAGACTAGATGATAGCATATCATAATGCAAACGAAACGTTGCCGCTTTCACAAACACTCGACAGCCAAGAGCTCTCACATGTGCCACAAGGAGCAAGGACAATATATGTCTGAAGCTCGTTACTGCTTATCTTCAAAATTTTGCCCAAAAAGCTTTGTGAGAGACTAAACGATAGCATATCACAGTGACAGCTAAACGTTGTCGCAAATGGCCCATGATATTTGTAAGTAATACTGATAATGAAAATAAAGGCACCATAGTCCATATGCAGGGCGATGCTAGTGCTCTAATTTGAAAAGATACGATGTCTCAATTTCTTCTACGAAATGTAGCAAAATATTTTGTATGCCATCATACAAAACTTGAAGTTCCGTTGCACACAAAGAATTCTAAGTTTGCTGAATGATCTGCGATTGAGTGGTATTTCGAAAGGTTACATTTGAGATGCGCGCATGAAGGCAGTGTTATCAGGTTCCAACTGGCTACCTGCAACATTGAAACGGGTCTTAATTCGAAGATGATCGTCCACACCAAAATCAGGAATCATCAAGGACAAGTTACTTACTCCGGGGGGCATTTGTGTTGAGCTAAATAGCTGAACATCTGAGAAATGTGTTGATCAGAAGAATAAGCGATCGCTGGAACAATGGCTTTATTCGCCTGACATTTCGGATTCTCTCTTGAATCCATCATCAGAGACAGTTGCAGAAAAGGGTGGCTAGTGTACAGGAAGTCGCAGTATTTATAGGATGCGGTCGCCATGCTACCGCATACCTACAGCCATTAACCGCGCCTTTTTCATCAAGGATTGTTGCCCGCTGGTGCGCTAATTGCTTGATGGCCGGCATGCAAGTTGTTAATTGCTGACATCTCATCACCCGTGTTGGATGCTGGCGTGATGATTGCTCGGCCATCTGGCTCACGTGCTTGCGCGCTCCTCGAGTGGTCAATTGCTTTGGCCAGTCTATGCCTCAGGACAGAATATGGAGTGGGGATGTCGTTGCACTTGTTGACAGACTGAGGTCCCGTGAACCAGGACTCAAGCAACTCGCGGCTCCCGCGATTATCCCCTCTCGCGAGAATTTCGGCCTCATCGAACTTGAATGTGTGGTCGGGTCTCGTGGAATGGGCCGCGACCTGAGAGTTGGCGTCATATTGAGAAATTTGTAATATCAAAAATGTCACCAATTAAAAGGTGACAATATTTTTACTATTATAATAGTCCATGAATGAAATGTGTCCTTGCAGGCAGTGTCAGAAGGCATTGCATTGTCGTATTTTTATTTCGACGAATACCATAAACCATCTTGATCACTCTCATGCAACAACCACTTTGTTTCTCTGTCACGTGCAAACAAATATCGCCAGCCATGTTCTTTTACCGTAATTGCATAACCGAGTGCGTAACACCAGCTATAAACCACATTCCTGCCGCTTAAGTTTTTGCAGACCGGAAGACTTATTTTGATACTTTTCAGTTCAGCTAAGGGTTAGTAATGTGGTCATTTCGAACGACAACAGTTAGTTGACATCCATTCAAGGAATCCGTCATTGAAGAGCGAGGATCTACAAGGCCAGTTAATACAGGGAATGGAGGCACGTGACAGGAGGACATCATGTAGGATAAGCAGAAGCATTTTCGTCGTTCGATACTCAAACCAAACACACACACACACCGAAGACATCATTGCACCAACAGAAGGTTTTGTGTGCTTATCCCTCAAGCAATAGAGATGCGGCTATTGGGTCACCAAGAGCAAGGCGTCGTAGCAATCAAGATTGCTTGCAAGATTGTGCTATACGTCAACGCACTACCATGTGTGCCATTGAGGATTATAGCATGGTTGAGGAAAGGTGAAGTTCAAAGGCATACGCAACTCCATCCTCGCACACATGAACCCCAACGAAGCCTTCGGCGTGATTTATAAAGTTCGACGTAATTACCCTAGACAACTGGGCCAGCGCATACTGGTAACAACAGCAGTGACTGTCATCTGTAACATCCTGCACGCTCCGAGTCTATCGTGAACAAAGATCGATAAATTGCACGCATGTGTCCGCACCCCGTTACCCCTCCTCTCTTCCTGTGACTCGTCTCAACCCAAACCCCACTGCCACGTACTGACTCCTCTCTTTCCCCTCTATTCGAACACTATGCTTGTATGAAATTATTTTTATTACCGCTCACACGTTTTGCTTTGTGCCTAGTTTGCCATGTAAATGCACTAGCCCAATTAAAATTTACCGAAAGCATGCTTATGCTCCTAAAATGTTCTTCTAAAAACTATTTTCATATTAAGGAGCATCCATATTTTGGTTAACGAACAACTTTCGATTCCACGTTTTACTCAGACAGGCTCATTTGAGGCACAATGGTTTCAAGCGATGTGTGTAAACTAGGTACTTATCGTATCACGGTAGATTACTTTAAATTTACATTTCTTTCATTTAGTACAATTGCCTTCCCCGAGCGTAAGTGAATTCGGCCATAAACCATACCCTTGCCGTTTAAGTTTCTGTAGATCGGTAGACCCCTTTAGATACATTCCAGGTCAGCTAAATATTGATAGTGTGGTCACTTCGACGGACAGCAATCATCAGTCATGCCTAGAAGGAATTCATCAGTGACGGACGAGGACCGACAAGGCCGGTTAATGAAGGTAATGGAGGCACGTGACAGGAAGACATCATGTAGGACAACCAGAAGCACTTTGGTCGCTGGTTGCTTAACCTAAACACACAGGACGAACACATCAGCGCGCCAGCAGAAGGTCGTACTGACTGTGCTTTATCAGTCAAGCAAGATAAACTCTTTCTT